ATTTGTTATCTATCAAATGTTGATAAATACTGATTAAAATGATGGACGACTGAAAAATTTATTGCAAAGTGATAATCACAATCATTTCCCTGGTGAATATTCTGATGAGGATTGTAATTGGATTTGTATTTAAATCTTTCTGAAATTTCTTGAATTTGTGATCACTGACAAAGATAGCATCATGCTAGATTTTGTTTTGAAAATTTAGTTCAGGCTTAGAAAAAGTTATATTTCAAGCTGTTTTACTTCCATTGAAAGAAAATCAGTTTAGTTCAAAGTACTAATATTGGAAATTGTGTACTGATTATGATAAGAAAACTACCTAAATCAAATTATTGAATAACCTCAACTTAAACATAAATTCTAATTAGTAATTGTTAGACACCAATTAGATTTACAATTAGATTTATAATTGCAAGCAAATCAACTTGAATTGGATAATAATAATAACAATAATAATTATAATTATTATTATTAACCTATACTTAATTTGAATAATTGATGTTACAAGTAATCGTTAACTAAATATTTAAATTTTGAATTTTATTTAGCGAGCATCGGAATGCTATGAATTTAAGCGATAGTTATTAGCAGGCAAGCTAATACAAATAAAATTTCATAGCAAGCATAACATTGCTTCACAGAAATATCATTTAATGAAAATTATGTGTATACAAAAAGATTTATTTAACTTTTAATGAAAAAAAACAACTTTCAAAAAATGCGAGAAAGAATTAACTTATTGTTGTCTACTGACAAGCAAGCGCTCTTTTAACGACAGGCTAGGCCAAGGGACAGGCTAAGTCTTGGCCAACTAGGCTTTCAAGCATTTTAATCCTGAAATACTAAGTAATACTAAATCGATGGATGCTTGCACAGATATTCCAGACGTATTATGTCCAAAAACGTGAAATAATTGATCCCATGTAATAAATCTCTCTATCCTTTTTTTTCTACAGATTTTTTAAGTTGATCCCATGTAATAATCTCTCTTGTTAAAATCCTTGACAATTGTTTAGCCAATAATCGTGACATATTGGCCTGAAGTTATCATCAATCACTTACCTGATTTAAGTTAGAATAGCTTAATTTCAAGACCTCAAGACTGTTTGCTGAATACATTAATAATGAGCAATGAAAATTAATGTAACTATAATTACAATTCAATCAAGAAATTGTATTAGTTATGAACAATTCACCAAAAATAATTTTTTGAATAGATGCAAAGTAGCTATTTTATGTTTGAGCACATAAACAATATAGAAAATTATATGTATTAATAAGAAAGGATTATATTTTTGAATTAAAAGTATAACCAAGAAAGGATTTTACTTCTTAATGAATCTTAAAAGTTTTGATGAGCGAAAAATTCCAACTTAAGTTTTTAAAAAGTGACAACTTTCTATACTTAATTTTTGGCTAAATATTAATTTCAGACTTATATATGTAAAACTTAAAGAAGAATAAACTTAAACAAAGATTAGTCTCTGACTTTCAGAAGTAAGTCTTAACTGATGTTCATTACTAACTTACGTATAAAAGATTGCAAGATCGTATAAAGTTAATACAACTCACTTTTCAAAACCTAAGGCAGTTCAAATTTTTGTATTTTGTTGTGCAAAAGCACTTACAATGTTGTCCTAAAAAATTTTACTCGAAACAACCTTGGCCTATTATTAAACTGAATTATGTTGAGATGAAATAAAAAGTGTACAAAAAATGACCTGATGAATTGCAGTACTTCACAATTTTATTTTATTTTCATTAGCACTTCGTTACATTTTTTTGTAAATTTTTTCCTATAAAGCTTGTTGCATTCAAAGATAATTTTCAGTTTTTGCATACAAATATTTTTAATTACTTAATTACTTATACTAGTTTATGTTTACTTCATTCCTTGCGTTGCATTTTTTATTTTCTGATCTGATAACGTTAGTAAAAAATAGCTAATTTAGTCTTCAACAAAATCGTCATACTCAGATATGTGCTATTTGATAATAATAAAATCGCACTTATTACAAAAATGTTTAATATTTGATGATCAAAAAATTATTGTCAATATTTAAATTCATAGTTATCATTAATCTGCTAGAATAACACACATCTTGCATTGAAATATAAGCTTACTACAGAAGGCATTGAAAGCTTAATTGACATATCCATCTAATGCACTGATATATGAGGAAAATTATTAATTTAAAAATAATTGCTGCAAAAATTTTTATTTATTTTAAACTGTAATTGTATAAAAATTAATCCAAAGAGCATAATAATCATGCCATCAGATTGTTTCTTAATTATATTGATAATTTTGAACATAATTAATGATAACCTTGAATTTAATTACTGATTGAAAACTTTGAAAAAAAATCATTAATTAAATATTTTTTGTCTTAGTTTCCGAAAACAAATTGCAATGATAATAAAAATTAGAATTATTATCATGAAAATAGGTCATCATTCAAATAATGATTATATAAGATTAATTTTATAAAAATAATAACAACACAGAAATAATTTTTTTAATCATAAGATAGTAATGGTGATAAATACAAATTATTTATCACTGTAATATTTTTACTGATGATATTAAGCAAAATTTTTTAATTGTTATTATCAGTGAGATAATATTTTAAGCTATAATCTAGGTTCGTTTTTTTCAGCCTTTCTTGAATCTCTAGGCACCTTATCTTTGTGATCAAATTTATTTTATCAATTTGACTTACAATATCAATATATTCGAACTTTTAGCAAAAATTATTAAAACTTTTCTTTAAAAATAGCACCCTGAAAATTGTCTGATATAGAGCAAGAAATATCAAAAAACATGGATTTATAAATATTAGCTAGTAATTAACCTATGAAGTTTATAGGTTAAAATCTATAGTTCAATTACTTAGCTTCTGTACAGTTGAAATAATATTTTTGTTACTTGCAGTACAAAAATTATTAAAACTCTTCTTTGTAGAGTTAATGTCACTAAACATATGATTAGTAAAAACGTTTCAGTATTTTGTACCAATCAAAATATTTAAGTAATTTGTTCAATCCTCGAAATTAAATCAAATAAATTAAATCAAAATCAAATAAGTTTACTTTTCATTTTTTTTAAGCAAATACAGATTATGCTTAACCTAACTTTCAGTTCAGCTCTGTAATCGATTTGATCTAATCATGTTGTGATCCAAAGCAAATCAGTGAAGATATATGTTTTATGCGGGATATATATTTGAAATGGGCAATTTTATATGATATCAAGCGAAGAGTAATATTTACTTTTTCTTGCAGAAAGTAAAATGACACACGAGCTAAACAAAAGTTTCAAAAAGATCAAACAAGACGTATTAAAAAAACCTGCGTGTGGCACATTCATAATAAATTTGAAATTTCAACCTAATATTTAATTTTAGGTTTAAAGAAGGAAAGCTTCAATTTTCCACTGAATTCAGGGTATGTTTTACGTTACGTGATGATATTTTTCAATATTTTCACGGGAATTTGAAATTTTCAACGTGCTTAAATGCTTTTATCTGTATTGACTGTCATGAAAAAGTAATTCTATAAGCGTACCACACAATAAAAATTTTACGATAACAGTATGAAGCACACAGTGATGAAAAATCAAAAATAAAGCTCTCGTAAAAATTCTAGTATGCTATTTAAGGAAATAACTGCTGAAAAGCAATAAAATTTTCGCCATATCACAAATGATTTGACCTTTTTATAAAGTTTAAGTCTAAAATGATCTTATCATTTTGTGAGGAAAGGATAGTTTTTTTAAAACTTTTAGTAGCTAAAACTTGATCTGCAAATGATCTGATCAAAATCAACATCAGTGTAATACTGTTGGCAGTAAATACTTTACATTATTCGATAACTTTTGAAAACTTTTTCAAAATTTACTCATTTTCCAGTTTTTATCACTGTAACACTGAAAGTGTAAATTTATGACCTACAAACGAGAAATTTTCGTATATGAAATGATTTTTTTATAATGAACAGTGTGACAATTTTAAAAGTTGAATGTTAGATGAAGTTGTCATTTAGCAGTTCAAATTTTCCATATTTGACTAAAAACTGTTAAAATAACGTATTTTATGGTTCAAAAAAATATAACTAAAATATGAATGTATTTTTTTCAGCATTGATTTCTTACAAAATAATCCATAATAATAAGAACACAATCAGCAAAGGTGATCACAATGATAGCTATCAAAGCTGAAGTAATCACTGCAAGAGTAATCAAAAGAGGATAAAGTCTTCGACACAAGAATTTAGTAAAATAACAGAAATACAATTAACAAATAAGTCAGTTACAAAATTTGATAAGTCTGATTCATATGGCATGTGATGCTGTTATCAGTGATAATGGCTTTTCTAACTGTTTGATCATTTCCTTCACAACACCTAATTTTGGATCCAAACTTTCATCTAATTGAGCACATTGTTCTACCGTAAGAGGAGTACGTTGTCTAAAATCAAATCAAGTATAATTATATCAGTTTTTTGTTGTAATTATCAAGTAAAAATAAAATCATCACTTATATTACGTTAATAAATATTTCAAATTTAAAATTGTGCCTGGCTGATAATATTCGTGTACTGTGTACATGATCTAATGGTACAGTACTTGGATTTGAAACTCTTGATATTTTTGTTGTTACAAATTCATCCATTTTTGCTGATGTTGAAAGTGACAAATTCTGAAAATTTTCATTTTAAAAACAAAAAAACTACTTTTTTAATAGATAATATTAATAAATTATAAGTTATTTTTTTCAAAATATTACAAACATAATTTCTTACTTTATTTATTATATTATTATATTTTGACCTTACTGGAATCTCTATCTCTTTCATTACAATACAATCAAAATTAAACAAAGATCGGAATAAAAAAATTTGAATTTAAAAAATAAATAAATAAGTTCCGAACTTTATCAACGCCATTTTTTCGTTCTTGTTCTTGTCTATGCCGTAATCTCCAAACCTGTTCTGCAACTTGTGATGAACGTCGACGATGATGAATGTTATGATGAAGTGTTGAACTGTGAAACCTAGAATTGTTACTTGAAAATTTTTTATTGTTATTTTTAATAATAATAAATGCAAAGTGATGATTATATTCATATGAAATATAATAGCTATAAGAGAATAATAAATATTGCGCACTTTTCTGAAATAATTATCAGTAATTCCTTAATTAAATAATCTCCTAGCAAAATAAATAAGCCCCAAATTTTATCTTAAAAATTAAAATTCTTTCTAATGAAATAATCATTATTAAAAACTTTAACCTTTTTAAAAAAGAAAAAATTTTAATTACTGTAATTTTAAATGATATACTGAGATGTAACAAACTTTTCTCCAAAATGTGGTGATTCACTCCATGAGATGACATTTACTGCTTCATCATTATCTTCTGATTCTGTCGCGCAACTGTATGAAACCTCGCAATTTTGAGAATCACTGTTAACTGCAATAACTTCTGTATTTACACCTAAAATTATTCTTATATTTGTAAAATTCCTAACCCTCCATAACCTCATTGATGACCTTTACAATTTATGAAAACAGAGCTATTTTATAAAATTGGATGGAAAATACTGAAATGTTTTGAAATTAGCTTAATTTTAATTTGAAAATTCCATCACAACCAGTACGATCTCTCAAATTACTACTGAAATCAGAACGTTCAATTTTTTAGAGTTAAAAAAGTTAAATGATCTAATTTAATGGCAATTTACGAAAAAGCAAAAAATATGAGGTTCTTAAATATGTTACAGTATCATAAAATTGTAATTAGAGTAGGGAATCTGAACTAAAATAAAAATTAATAAATGTACCAGTATGGCGCTTAATTGAATTTTGTGGCGATTCATCCACAAATGGAAATGAAATTTTATTCAATTTTTCTCCTTCTGTAAGCTTTTCTTCTAAAATTTCTCCGTCAAATTTATTTAGCGAACGTGAACGTTTCTTGTGTTCGAGAAGATTATTGAAAGCTAAATGAATTCATTTTGAAAACCTTATTTCATATGATACTAAAGACTATTTACTCTCACAAAAGTTTTGATCAAATTTGCTCAAATGGTACATTCAAGTAAATTATTTTAATTATTCACCTCTAGTAACGTAACGTGAATTGACACTTGAATTGAAGTCAAAAAAACAAAAATATACTAATTTATATTTCTAGTTTCAAGCTCATTTACCAAATTAACTTTTATGTGCAAAAATTTTTGGAATGATTAATATTGAAAGATTATTTATATCTAAAATAAGCACTTTGAAACGTGATTATTATTAAAAACGTAAACTCATATCTTTTAATTAAAATTATGATAACAAACGTTAGCACTAACATTTTTTTGACAACTTAAAAAAATGATAACTTATTTATTTCTCACAAATATTTTTTCTAAAGCTTGCATAAGGTAAAAAACTTGAATATGCAAATTTGGGCACCTTTGCATTTATTAGTGTAAGAATCTGATTTTGGTACTGATGTATCACTTCTGCGATCCATTTGCATATTACTTTCAATGTTTTCATTATGATTATCAGTATTTTTCATCAGTAGTTGCAATTCCTAAAAAATTCCAGTAATTTATTCAGTAAACAATTTAGCACTATTTGCTGTGTATTTGCTTTTGTTTTGAATACTTTTGTCCCAAATATCTCACATTTCGGTAATCTTTAAACTAAGTTTGGGTCAAATCAAGTTCAAAGTGCATAATTTTATAATCTTGACCCAAAATTAGAGTACTAGTAAAGATAAAGCTGATTTATAATTAAGTTAATGATTCCTATCTATCATCAGATTTTTCATGAGCAAGTGACCAACTCTGTATAACATAGCCATTGTTTCATCAAAGTGCTTTTGTGCACAGCAGTGATCATCAGAATGAGTGTACGTTGGCTTAGATCTTGAATACAAGGAATTTGTGGAATCTTTAGTAGAATACTGATTCCTGAAAATGATTTCTAGAATTCATTTCCAGTCTGAAATTAACGAAATTGTTGTTTGGTTCAGTTTTTTTTCAAAAAATTCTCTGTGCTAAGTTTCTTCATAAAATCAATAAAATGATATATAGAGTAAAGATTCAGATGTCTAACAGAATTTCATTGTTTAACTTATTGTCTTCATTTATTTAATTCATTCTAAACTTATAGAAAAATCACTTAAAAATACCACAATTTGTTGAAACTTAAATATATAAAAAGTATTTTGTTATTTTACCGTAAATTAGCTTGTTTTTGCTGTGGTTTGCAAACATTTAGTGCACTCTCCAAGAAACTTTTCGACGTTTGAAATTCCTAAATTCAAATCTTCAAGGATAGTTTTTGTAAGAAAAATGGTAAATTGACTCAAAAATAGCTGAAAAACCTTTTTGACACCAGCTTATTTTTTAAATTGCTTGTATAATTTGAAAAATGCAACTATTCATTAATTATGCAAATATTCATTAATTATGCAAATATTCATTAAAAATGTAAACTTGTCTTTTTAATTCACTTTCATAAAAATTGTATACGTTAGTAATCTTTACCTTACAAGGTGATGGTGACAGAAGTGAAACAGTACTATTCTTCCGCTCACAAACTGATTTTTTTTTATTCACTTCGCTGGATTTTCTTTTTACGAACAAACTTTGAGAAGATATCAGAGATGAGGATGATTTTACGTCTTCACGTTTACACGTATTTTCTACATTATTTTTATCCCACACATTTTTAGCTGTAGATGTAGATGGCTAAACGAGACGTATGTAATAAAAGTGCTTGAACAAAATGCATCAAATCAATCATTTCATTTTTCTTTTTGAGAAATAAAATTTAAAATGTTCAATGAATACCACAAATTTTATTCTGAAATAATTATTGTAATTATTGCGAATTCCTCCCAGTTACTGTAACTTCTGAAACTTCTGAAACTAATCTATACTTTTATGCATTGGACAAATTTGAACAGTGTTTAACGTAAAATATAATTTTTTCCAGAATAATTGCTACAAAACTGATAAAATTGCTGTTAACGGAATATTAATGATAATATTATTATCGATTATAACCAAAATCCCTAAATTCTTATCAGTAATTCGGTATTTACTTACTTTAATATGGCTAATAAAGCTACAAGAATGCTTGGCGATTTTGAGAATCGAGTCAGATTCCAGAAACGTTTCAAGTTCCTTAACAATGTTTCCTGTCGATGACTGAAAATCATTTAATATTTTAAGATATTATTTCGTCTTACTGCTAACAGCACAGTTAAAAGAAATTACAAAAAAAATTTGAAATTATTGGAAGTTTCTTCTTAATTGTCAACGCTAATATAAAAAATTTAGCATGAAAGTATGAAAAGGTATTTATATAAAAGAAGCTTATATAAAAAAGTATTTATTTGCTTAAAAAATACAATTTTTTGCTTTAATCAATGCTTACTACCTTTTATATTCAAACGATGACTTGATAGATTCAAACTGTGATTTTATTACTCAAACTAAGATTTGATATACGTAAACTAAGATTTGATGTACTCAAACTAAGATTTGATTTACTTAAACTAAGATTTGATATACTTAAACTAAGATTTGATATACGTAAACTAAGATTTGATATACTTTAACTAAGATTTGATATACTTAAACTAAGATTTGATATACTCAAACTAT